TAAGAAGGCATGTTCATGACAAAGGAAAAGAGTATGGGCTTCTGAAGTTTAAGGAACTCAGATGACTCTTAACATCGGAAAACTCTCAAGGGCTATAATACTAGACCTCAAATGCAGGAATAAACCATGAATATTTAATGCTTAGTAGTACAGGTTGAGTGCTCACTACTCACTATGTAGCCAGGCTGGCCTTGATCTCTTGATCCCCTGCTTCTGCCTCCCGAGTGCTGGGATTATAGACTTGTGTGACCACAGCAAGCTAGGTTGAGTATCTCTTATCTGAAATGCTTGGGACCAAAACTTTTCAGAGGTTTTTTTGATTTTGGAATATTTTCATAATTCAGAATATGGTTGAGTGTCCATAATTTGGAAATCTGAATTGCTCCAAAATCCAAAACATCATGGTACTCAAAACATTTCAGGTTTCAGACTTTCAGTATGGGACCCTTACTGAATAACCTACATAGATATCCACCTACACAGAGCTTAAATGTTTCTTTTTTTTTTTTTTGAGTGTGAGCTGACACATACAACACTGTGCTATAGAAAGGAGAGCTTGTCAGTATTACACAGAATGGACTTAAAGAGGAAGAATCTTGGAATAAGGATCATATTTACATGGAGTGCTCTGAAGATCTGAGTTAGAATGGTGCAAAGACCAGAGAAGATAGAAAATAGATAAAGTTTTCAGATCAAAGCTGTGTGGCTGAACATTGGTAGGTTCTGAGGGATAAGCATCAAAAAATGGAGGGCTGAATTGATTCATTAATCTTACTTCCTCCAGTAATACCACAAAATGGAAAAGAATGAAAACCAAAAGACATAGGCCCACAAAGTCAAAGAGAGAGGAAGAGGAGGCAACATCAACACAATTTTGGAAGTTGGAAAAGAGACAGGGAGGTGGTAAATAGCTGAGCAAAATGGAAAGGGTGTATTCTCAACCAGCATCTGGGAAAACCAAGGAGCAACCAAGTTTATATCAAAACAAACAAAAAGTGAAAGTGGTATCAAAAACAAGACTGACTGAAAGTTTAAGAAGAAGGTGCACTCTCAGACTTCATCTTCTACATCCCAAAGTCAGAATATTGTCCCTTCTACAGCCAAGCAAGAAGACAAAAGATACCTTCTTCTGAGAAGGTAACCAGAGGCTCTTGGGATGGGGCAAGACCACTCAGAAATGAAAGTAAGGATCCCATACTGAAAATGAAAGCATTCAGTAAATACTTACACATGGAATGTTCAAACAACCAACCTTCTCCTTCCCTTGAGTTCACTTCATTTGAATGACTTAACTCTCAGGCCCAGATTTGGAAAGGCCTCTGGGCATACCAGACAACCCAACAACAAGGCCTTAAAGAAGCTTACTAATGTTAGTTTATTCTAAGGAATGCACAAGTCAGATCACTTATAGTGAAGTCTAGGGTTTATATAATCCCTTTTGGAATCAGCAGCTATTGAGCTACTTTAAGACACCGGGAGTGAGCTAGAGCAACATCCAAGGGTCACTAGACATTAGATGGAAGCTTTCAAAAAGAACATGCAGGAAAAAGAGAAAACATGAACTGCACTGAAGAGAAATTCAAAATAACTACCACTTAGAACTCAGAAATAAAGATGATACAGGATTCACAAAACAAAAACATCCTGTTAACCAAAAGAAGTAAAGAGTTCTTGGGAATTAAAAAACATGAGAAAATGAAAACAGTAAAAGGGTTGGAAGATGAAATTGAAGAAATTCCCCCAAGAACTAGAGCAAAAGATCACAGAAATGAAAAGTAAGAGAGGAAACATGAGAATATTAGAGGAACAGTCCAGAGAATGCAACATTCAAATAATGAAGAGTTCCTCATAGAACAAGAAGTCATTAAAGATACAATTCAAGAAAATCCTCCAGGACTAAGGTACACATTTCTAGATAAAAAGGGCCCATTAGAGACTGACATAGTCCCACATAAATATGAGATTATGAAATTTTAGTACACTGCAGGCAGAAAGAAATCCTAAAATTTTTCAGACAGGGAAAAAAATGAGATGAATTAGAATTTTATTAGAAGAATTAGAATTTTATAGGACTTAACCACATTAAGACTGAAAGGTAGGTGACAGTGGGTCAATGCCTTCAAAATTCTGAGATAAAGTTGTCCAACCCAGGATTAGGTAACCAAACTATCGACAATCATAAGTGTTGACAAAGGACATTTTTAGATATCCATAAGCTCAAAGCTTATACCTCTTGTACAACCATTCTCAGGAAGCCACAGAAGATATGCTTTACTAAAATGAGAAAGTAAACTAAAGAAGAAGAAGACATGGGAGTCAGGCAGCAGGGGTCTACCCCAAGAGAGAGTAGATGGGAGGATCCCCCAAGGATGATGGTAAATGGACTTACCAAGTGACAGCCACACAGAATCCTGAAAGGAGCAAGTCAGAATGCTCTAAAAGAAACTTCCTCAAGATTAAATGGATTAAATACCCAAATACCTTCAACTTTTTAAGAAGAGATTTGCAAACTTTGGCAAGTCCCTAGGGATGAATTAGTAATCAATTTGTAGAAATCTGTGTGGATCAATGTCAAGTCCACAAATATAACCCTCACCAGTTATTTAACAGAGAGCATTTAATAGGATGAGTTGCTGACTAGACACTGAGCACTGAAAAGGCAAGAGGAAAACAGTATCGCAGAGATAAGTACAGGCAGCAGCTACACCTCCAGGCAAGAAGAGGAAAGAGATAGTGGCCAATTAAGACTTAGAAGCTCAGCGGAAGTGCTGTTAGATGGAACCCAGACCTGTCAGGCACTGGCTGGCAAGTGCTGTTTCTCTCAACTTTCAGAGGACATGACCCATGGATCTGGGATTCACACCTTTGAGAGGAAGAACCAGACGACTGGTGTTGGTGTCTCTGAAATGAGGCTGATTCTGTAAGGTGTTGGGAAAGCTATAAACTGGCATTTACTGCTAAGATTAAACAACCTGCTGGTGAGCAGGACGAGGTAGGCTGAGATGAGATTCTGGTGAACAGGGAAGCATAGGCAGCAAAGAAAGAAGTGCATATCCCTCCTTCCTCTTCCAGCCTCCTGTCCCTGTCTATGTGTCTGTCTCCCCTCTGCAAGCCCTGCTCCTCCCAGCATCCCTATGGGCCACACCGAATAGACTGGCAACTGAAAAGGAGAAATGTGGCCTCAAAGGTCACCAAGTAGCTCATGGAAGGAGGTGGGACAGCTTTGAAGCCAATAGAAAAGGTCAATAACTGGCACCCCAAAACATATGAGAGAATTCTCTTAAACTCAGGAAAGTCAAAAAGGTTTCTGAGAAAGAATAAGTGACTAGAACATACTTCCAGACTCAGTGGAGAACAGCTTTTATATCATCAGTATAGTGCAAACACTGAAACTAATCCAACTAGAAAGTTAATGAAGCCATTAGACAGATGGAGAGACAAGGAAGTGTGGAGAGTGGGAGGCCAGGGGATAAAAAAACTAAATGTATCTCTTCCAAGGCTGGAGCTCAATAGGGACTACTTCAAATGAAAGGAAAAAGCAATGCAAGCCTGCCCATCCCTGTCTAGAGATGAGGACGTGAATATGAAAAAGGTCTGTTAGGGGAGGAGGAGAGGCCCTCAGGGAAGCAGGGGTGGAGGGGAGGTGACTAGGAACCACTGCTTCTCGAAGCCAGCGTTGCTGGGTACCACAGCCAACTCATGTTTAGCCAGCCTCTCGGCCTCTTGCCTCCTCTCCCTGACTGCCATCTAGTATGGTGACAGCTAGTGGAACAGGGCAGCTCACTCTGAGACCTTGCCCTGGAGCCCAGAAGTTTGGTTGCTGGGAAGCAATGCTCATATGAGGAAACCTATTTAAACCAGTGACAGTTGTTAGTGCTGGTCAGATCCCACGTGGGGAAGCCTGCTTGGGCCACACTTGCAGGAAGGAAAATTTAGCAAGAGCAGATTTCCAGGTCACAGTGGGATGGTGGGATCCTTGTCATCCAACCTGCCTCTTTACCTTCCTAGGCAGCACAGCAAAGCCAGGCTCCATCCATGGCCAAGGAGAGTGTACCTGTCAGCACCTGGGGAGATAATGCAATGATTAATGGTGCTGGATCTAAGTTAGTGACTTAGAGCCAAAGTCCTGGCAGAAGCTCCTAAAGTATCAGCTTGTAAAATCCTAGGGGAACAGATACCTTCATTCTTTATGGCAATAGAGCACACACCCTAATTGGCACAGGCTTTAGGATGGCAGGAGATCTATATCCTTTCAAACTTCCCCAGCCCCTTCCCAGCACGCATAGTCACCCATCAGCATGCACACCTGCAACGCCCACTCCCACAAGCACCGATTCTCTGAGCACTGTCTCACTTTTTGTTTTCCCCAGTACTGGCAGGCACTCTGTCACTTGAGCCATGCCACTAGCCCTTTTTGCTTTTACTTTGTTTTCCAGATAGGGTCTCAGGCTAACTCTGCCCAGGCCGGCCTCAAACCAAGATAATCCTACCTCTACCTGAGTAGCTGGAATTATAGCTACATACCACCATACCCAGCCCACTGCCTCATATTTGTTTTCCAAAGCCTCCCTCCTACTCCTAAAAGCCTGTGTGACTTCTAGCCCTTTGTCTCATGCTATAGCACTAATGCCTACCACCAGTGCTGGCCTTTCTTTAGGTTCTGCTGGAAGAAATTCTCAGTCTCTGTGTCAATTGGTGAAAAATGACAAGATAGACCTGCAGGGAACACCCGCAGGGTCTGGCCAGCTGAAGCTCTCAGGATAGTGACCAAGACCCAAGGATGATGAGGTGTCAGGGGAGAAAGCACAGTAATGTTTGCTTTTAACCACTGAGATACTGCACGTTGCGTGAGGAGGTTTGAAAGAGTCAGTGCCCCTCTAAACGTAGCTGCTCACACTTCTCACATAACCTTAAGCAGAGTGCAGCCCAGAAAGTCTGTTCCAGGCCAGAGTCAGGTCCCCCTCCTGTGGATGATGTGACTGCACACTTTTCTCTTTCAGATTATGACGTTTGTGCTGAGGCTCCCTGTGAGCAGCAGTGCACAGATAACTTCGGCCGCGTGCTGTGTACTTGTTACCCAGGATACCGCTATGACCGGGAGAGACATCGGAAGCGGGAGAAGCCATACTGCATGGGTGCGTTGGGAATGCATGTTAATTTCCAGCTCCTGGGGACAGGCCTTGTTCAGAGGGCTCTGTCCTTTGCTGCACCTTCTTCATTAGCAGAATCAGCTCAGAATCTTTGATTCTCTCCTTACATCCTCATACTTGTTGGATGGAGTTGTGTTTGGCCTCATCCTAAAGATGGCTCACTGCCTTTCATCATGACTATCAAAACAAACAATGTCCCACGACTTCCTGAGGGAGCTGGTACTAGTGCAAGCCTAACTAGCAGTGAGACATAAGACCCATAAGAGCTGGAGAAAGGGAACAATGCCAAGTATAAACAAGAATATAAAACAGAATATAGTTGATCTGAAGTATAAAAACAGAATGAAGCAAGAATAAGTGTACTCAGAAGACAACAGGGAGAACAGAAGTGTCAGTGTGGCAGGCAGGTTGGAAGTGAGTCAGAGGGCGCTGAAGCCAGCCACCTGGGCTGCAGCTGAGCAAACAGCCCTGCTACCCCTAGGGGCCACCAGTTTGTCCCCTTCATTCCCTTTGTCCCCATTGACTGGGTTTTCCCACCATGCATTCTTTGAGTTCCTGAGGCAGGTTTAGGATTCATTGTCGCCTGGAACCATGTGTTTCGGAGTGTAGTCATTCTGTGGATAGCCTGTCTCAGAAGCTGCTGGGGTCCTTGCTTTAAAAGTAAATTTCTTGGCCTCCCCTCCAGATCTAGTGAGTCACAAAATCTAAGGGCTGGGTCTGGAAATGTATATTTTCATGAATGCATCTAAGTGACTCGTATGCTTAGTGAAGTTTAAGTACCAAATGGAGGATGCACTGAGACTGGCAGATAGACACACATGGAAAATCAACTAGCCATAAGGAGCAGGTTTTCCCCTCTACCCCAGCAGGGACTCTAGGGAGAACCATTTAAGAGAGTATCTAGTTCCCTGGTTTCCCCCAACAACATCGGAATAAGGACCCACACTAACAAAGAATGGGACTGAGACAGTAAATGAATGAAGTGGAACCTACAGCCTCCTGTAGAGAGAGTAGAGACCATTCCAGATGGCTCAGTCCCAGGAACCAGGGCTTGTATGTCAGTTTCTGCTCGTTACCTTACCAGTTGGGGATCGACAGAGTTTGCATTTTACTCTGGGTAGCTTCATGCTTATTTTGGAGAAAGGCAGTCAAGCTGCAGAATTACCAAGGAGGATCCAGCTGGGACCTCCAGGCTACAGATGACATAGTATGTGTGCCAGGGGAAACCCACATGACTGTACTCCCCTTGGCACACAGAGGGCCTGCCAGAGTTGAGTCCTCAGCAGCTTGTCCAGGGAGTGGCTGGAAAGCTGTGAGCTCCTGAAGGTCAGGGCTGGGCTCTGCCTGCACAATCTGGGGCTGCGGGTCCTGGTTTCCACCCACCGCTACCCCCATCGTCAGCCAGTGAACAGGAAATGGAATTGGGTTTCCCCTCTTCTGTGCTGGGAAACATTTTTTCTTTCCACCCCATGCAGCAGGGGAGCGAGTCTGTGATGCACATAGTTGACACAGACTTACTGGTGGCTTGTTTGATGGTCTCTTGGCTCACTTCCACAACTCACGAGGGGTCTACTTGGGTCATTGTGAGGTGGTGATGTCCTGGGGAAACCTTTCTCTCTTAGACCATTGGGGCTATTTTCTTTCATCAGAAGTAGCTTTTCCCGGGTACTGTGGTATCTCCTAACTGGGAAGGGGCCATTCCTAAGTGACCTTGGGGTCACCATCATACCATCTGCAACTTCCAGCCATAGGGAAGCCTCAGCACACTAGGTGACTTGTATGTGGTCCCTTACTCACTGCCTCCTTCTCAAAGAGTGTAGCCATCCATTCTCTTCCGAGGAGCCCTGGAAAGTGTTCAGGGCAGGCTTCCTCATCACTTTTTCCAGGTGAGTCTCTGAAGACTAGAAACGCCAGCACCAAGCCACACTCAACAGGCAGGAAACCCTTGAGCAGAGTGTAGCCCAGGTCTCTAACACCCAATGTGCTGCTTTCATGGATGGCTGACCTCACTCCAGGTCAAGTTCTGGCGAAGTGTCGTTTGCATATATGAACGGGGTGGGGGGGGGGCAAGCTGATGGCATCTGTGGTGTTCAAAGTGACTTCTCTGAAACTGAGTGTTCTCTGTACTTGGTTCAAACCAGATATCGATGAGTGTGCAACCAGCAATGAGACACTGTGTGCGCACATCTGCACCAACACCATGGGCAGCTACCGCTGTGCATGCCAACAGGGTTACATCCTGGAGGATGACGGGAAGACATGCACCCGAGGAGACAAGTACCCCAGCGACACTGGTGAGCGCCCCACAGTGACGTGCTTTTTACATTTTCTATTATATTTATAATCAGTTTGGGGCTTACACATAGATCAAATTATATCATTTTGTCTACGTAATATAGATTTGTATACTTGTGCTTGTATTTCATGTCCGATTTTTCAGGCAATTCATATGTTATATAAATATGTATGTTATTTTATGTGCACTATCTTTCATGTAACATATAGTATATTCAAGTAATTATATACGATACAAGGTTCTCAAGTACATATATATCATTCTATATAAAATACAATTTTGTACAAGATTATATTTTTATATGTTGTTAGTGTTGTATGTATGTTATAGATCTTATTGTACAATAATATATACTTATACGTAAGGTAGGTAGGTAGGTAGGTAGATAGGTAAGTAGGTAGTAGATAGGTAGGTAGATAGATAGGTAGGTATCATGATATTATCTACAGGCAACTGGGAGCCCAACTGTTTGGGAACCCTTGGCAGGAAGGGACACTTACACTAATGGTAGGAGCCCGGGGGGAAGAGGACATGAGCACAAACTCCTAAGGAAGGAGTAGCAGCCCCCGTTAACATCAAAGGCTGCAAGCTGGTGTGTGCTGGAGGGAGGTGCTGTGCTCACGGGAAGTGGTAGAGCTTGATTACGTATTTAGAGTGACCTAGGATGAGCAGGAAGAGGCCAGAAACACTGTTCCCTTGAATAAAGTGGGCTGGAATATAAATATGAATTAGTTCCACATAAGGTACAACTCTGCATCATTGTTACTCAGAGTATACTCCATGCCCCATACTTGTTGCTTGCTGTTTGGTTCGTGATTAGAGAAAAACAAATTCAGAGTACTTATGAACTTTATACCAATTTGACAGAGGAAATTTATTTAAATCCCAAAATTTGTGCACGTGTTCCATGTCTGATTTTTTTTTAAGCAATTCATTTTGTACTTTAAAAAAAGTATCAACCCGCAATCATTTGGAAAATTTCTAACGCTGGTGCTTCAAGGCAGCACCGAGAAGCTGATTTACATTTTATCAACTAGATTCAACAGAGTCGCTGAGAAAGGATCAGCAGGAGTGCTGGGTTACTTCTTTGAGTTGGAGGAAAGAAAGAATGAGGTGGAGGGGAAAAAGAGGGGAGAAGGAGCGAGAAGGGAAAAGAAATCCAAAAACTGATGTCAGTGCTTCAGGGAATGCCTTAGTGGGCAAACTGTCACCACATGCACTTGTGAAATGACTCTCATCTCTCTGCCAAGTTACAAGTGCTAGGCTAGTCATTAAAATTTAGGATTTTAGCCTGTGTGGCCTAATGTCAAGGGCCTTCCAGTTGGAAGGAACCTTGAAGCAAAATAGTCTTTACTGCCCATGGTTGGCCTGTCAAGCCCCCTGGGGAAATGGTCCTCATCCTTTTGGAGGGCCTGAGGCCAGGTCCCACACCACATGTTCTCTTGCAGACCAGGAAGCTGCTGACATTTCCCTGGGCCCAACGCTCATCTCAGTCTCTACTTCCCTTGGGAAGGGAAAATGGCTGTGGCACAGTCACGAGAGGTTAGCGGGGCCAGAGCCATCACAGGTGGGTCAGGCTCTTAGGGTAAATCACATGTACCAAGAAATACAGGGAGATGAGAAAGTCAGAACCATCTGGGCACTCACGAGGTAGAGCCCCAGCTTCAAAAAGGGCTGGAAAACATCAGACAGCTGGGGACCAGCTGTCTCACAAGGAAAAACTACAAAGCAAAATTCTAAGGAGCAACTAGGTTGAGTCATGAAGAAGCTACCATATGTTAGGAGTAAATGCAAAATAGCTGTTTGGAGCCAGCTTGGGACTGGGCAATTGGGCATAGTTACCTAAACTGAAGGGCTAGGCTTGGGGACACCTTTGACACACAGGAACTTGCTCATCTAGAGGTCATCATAAAGCAAGGGACAACAGTCTTTGGGACAGAAGAGTTGATTGAGAACAAAAATAATGTTTACAGACCGTGTCTTTTTATGCAAAATTAACATCACTGCCTTTTGTGCCCGGGGAGGTGGGAAAAGGACAGAGATAACATAACTCTTAGATTATGACCTTTATTGAAAGGAAGACTCTCATTGGAAAGTGGGGTGCAGCTTTTTAGCCACCAATGTGTTAACGTGTGGACCTGTTGGGGAATTAGTCACAAGAAAGTAGCTTTCTAAGTTTTCATTTTGGAATTGGATTTCCTGCTGCTTGTGCACAGTGTGCTATGGGCTGTTCTCTGTCAAGAACATTGTGTCTTCAATGGAATTTTATGCAGCCATGAAGAAGAACGAAATGTTATCATTCGCTGGTAAATGGATGGAACTGGAGAACATCATTCTGAGTGAGGTTAGCCTGGCCCAAAAGACCAAAAACCATATGTTCTCCCTCATATGTGGACTTTGGATCAAGTGCAAACACAACAAGGGGATTGGACTTTGATCACATGAGAAACTGAGAGCACACAAGGGAGGGGTGAGGATAGGTAAGACATCCAAAAAACAAGATAGCATTTGTTGCCCTCAGTGCAGAGAAATTAATGCAGAAACTTTAAGGCGACAGAGGTCAATAGGAGAAGGGGATCAGGAACTAGAGAAAAGGTCAGTTTGAGAAAAATTAATTTAGAAAGTAACACTTATGTACAGGAAAGCAATGAGAGGAATCTCACACTATAGCTATCCTTATCTCAAACAGCAAAAACCCTTGTTCCTTCCTATTAGGGCTTATACTCTCTCTACAACAAAATTAGAAATAAGGGCAAAATAGTTTCTGCTGGGTATTGAGGGGGTAGGGGGGAGAGGGAGGGGGCAGAGTGGGTGATAAGGGAGGGGTGGGGGCAGGGGGGAGAAATGACCCAAGCCTTGTATGCACATATGAATAATAAAATAATAATAAAAAAAAGAACATTGTGTCTTTACCTCAAGTTTATGTGCAAGTGAATCCTCTCTACATCCATAAAGGGAACCTGAAGCAGTCCAATCCAGAGCAAAACCTCAGGAACAGCAATAATAGATATTTGATGCTGAGTAGCAGGGCAGAGGTCCGAGTGGGGGCTGCACAGCCACAGCAACCAGACGGGGCAATGAGAATTCCCAGAGAATGGTGTAAAACTTTACGTGCTGAGTTACCAGGGACCTCCACACCCTCCTGCAGCAATTCCTAACTTCTCCAAGCACATTCCTTTTCAGTCCCTACACAGTTCCCCTTTCATGTGGGATCCTAGGGGCTGAATCAGAGCACAGTGACAGGGTCACTCACCTTCAGCAAGGTGGACCCAGCAAAGGCTAGGGGCGGGGGTTGCGGGTGCAGGAGGCAGGGAGGTCTCATTGCACCTTTGAAATTAGCAAAGTTTTGTGTAAAGTCATTCCTGGGGTCTCACTCACCTGCAGTATTGCCTGAGAAATGTGCTGTACTTCTTACAAATTCTGCAAGCAAAAAATTCCAGACAAGGACAAGATGTTAAGAATTTTATGTAGATGAGGACCAGTTAGACTTCTGTGGCTAAGAATCCAGTGAAAACTTGGGATAGCAGTATAACAAGGAATATATACTTACACCTTGTTTTCTTTCTTTTTAACTTTTTTATTCTTTTAGTCATATGTGCATACAATGTTTGGGTCATTTCTCTCCCCTTCCCCCTGCCCCCTCCCTTACCTACCCCGCCCTCGCACCTTGTTTAGACTTCTGTAATATTACTTAAAGAGATGTTCATCTTAAAGAGGATGCAACCAACAGTTGAATCCTCTCCCACATTATGTTCTGTAGCACTGTGGGGCCTGTGAGGTGCTAATAAGCATGCATTTCTTAAGGTCCTGTGCTCAGATGTTTAGGGAATTTCACATTGCTTTACCCATTTCTTCAAGATTCATAGTTCAAGTGCACTAAAAGCTCAGAGAGGTTGCCATTCTTAAAAAATTAACTTTGGTTAAACCTGAATTTCACAGAATTCTTTTTCTTTATTTCTTTTCTCTGTTTTGTTTTTTGTTTTTCAGAGACAGGATCTTGCTATGTAAGTTGGCTGGCCTTGAACTTGAAATTCTCCTTCCTTACGTCCTGAGTACTGGGATTAAAGGCACATATTATGATGCCTGGCACACAAAATTATTTACTAAGAAATCTTACAGTTGGGCATGGTGGTACATGTCTGTAATCCCGGCAGTCAGGAGGCTGAAAGCAGGAAGATCATGAGTTCCAGGCCAGCCGAGGCTACATAGTGAGACCCTGTCTCCAAAAACAAAGGAAGGGAAACATTTAGTATTAAAGGTCTCAACTCTTGGCCAAACTGAATAAGGCTGTGGGCAACAATCAGACCAGGATGTTACTACTTAAGGATGAGCAACTAAAGGCTGGGGAGTGAGTTACTGTGGTGTGCCCAGCATCTAGTGAGCGAAAGCTGAGCAGAGCTCCCCAACTTTGCCCTGTTATGGCTACTTACAGCCCACTCTCACACTCTGTATTGAGAGACACGTGGTTCCTCCTGCAGCAGCATATAGGGGACGTCCTGCTTCTGATTCATCTCCTAACAATGCCCTGGTGGTAGCCTTGGTATACCACAAAGCTCCTTGCAAAACTTGGACTAGGTTGGGGATTCTCTCCTCTTTCCTTCCCTCTTCCTTCTCCAAGTACAGCAATTTTAAAGAGCTAGAAAAATAACACTCTGATAGGGCACCACTATCTGCTGAATCCCACACCCTGCAACAGTCTTACAAAAGAATTTCTCAGTATTTAATGTTAACTTTCAGTAACTGGTGTCCACTGAACTCACCCCATGTGCACAGAGTACTACCGTTTGGTTTTCCGTTTCACTAAGAGAAGCATCCCAACACCAGTGACCAGGCTTACTTGGGGAAAGGACTGAGAGGAGTCATTCACACATAGTTAGGAGAAAGAATAGGCACACAGTTGGCCCTGCCTCAAGTTGGTTGGGCCACTGAGCAAGTGAGGCTAACACTGATGGTTCTGAGGGTTAAAAAAAAAAATCCAAAACAAACAACAACCAAAAATGTACCTTGAGTCATTTCTTTGACAGCAGTGGTGGCATGGAAAGTTCCTTGGCCTGGAAATTAGGAGACCTGGTGACCAGGTTGGTGCAGAACTCACTAGCTGCGTGACATTGGGCAGGTCTCTGGGCCTCAGTTTCTTTATCTGTACATGAGGGAGTTGAACTCTGTGAGCTCTGAAAACCTCTTCACACTCTGAAATCTTTTTTTTTTTTAATTTGACGTGTTATAGTGTAACAGAAGCTCCTGCTGGCCTTTGTAATGAGTCCCTGCTGCAGTCCTCATTTCTTTGTCCTCTAAGTTGGTACTGAGACTTAAAAACCCAGCTTCAACACCTTCTAAGCACAGAACTTTCCTTACAATATCTAAAAAATGAGCAATTGCACAGCTGAACATTTGACTCAGCAATACAAAATGTTAGGGTTCAGTAGAGCCCTGCCTTCTGGAATGTCAGCTAAGCAGTTTCATCTGCTTTGGGCTGATTATTAAGTCCAGTATTTCATCACAGTCATTTTTTAAATTTTGCATTGTCCAATGTCTATAACGTTAGATTTAGAGGAATTTACAATTGAAGGCAGGCAAAGAGAAGAGGCGTGGCCCCATCACCGCCTCTGAAGATTGAAAGCATGCAATCCACAGGTTCGGGGACACAAGCCATCTGGCTAATAGGTCTTCAGTCACTTCGATTTCTGTCTTTGAAAACATGGAGCTGAAGTCAGTTTAGTCGCCTCAGGGAGTCTGTGCAGCACTGATGGAGAGACAAATTAAGGAAATGTTGGCTCCGGAGTTCTTAGCTTACTGGTCTTTATTTTTCAACTTTTGTTTATTTTCTGATAACATGGCCATGACCCCAAGTGTCACTCACTCCACTTGAAAGCATGAGAACCAGCCAGGTGTTTCATATAACTTTCAAGCTCCGCTAATCCATACATTAGTGGCTTTCAACCTTGCAATCACCTGGGGAGCGTTAAACGCACAGATCCTGTTGCCTCACTGCCACCCCCAGATGGATGGGGTGCGGCAGATTCCTTGGGGCTTTTTAACCCCCACCCCCAGGTGATTGCAATCTAGTAGGACTGAGCACTGTCGCCACAGCACAATCTTCACGGCCAACTTTTCAAAACAAACAAGCTTTGTTCATTTGTGACACTGCCCAAATGAAATACGTTGGGAACATTTTTTGGCTTTTCTAAGTTTATTACGTATTGCTACCACGATATCTAAAGTGTTATATTTCTATTGCTCAGTATGCATAGCCTTGAATAAAAGGCTTGAATAAAAATTAGAGCTCCACGCCCCCATGTGGCTAATAAGTAATATTGCACCTTTAAAATCTGAGTAAATTGAGATGAAACGGTGAATACCAACCATACCAGACCTTTCGGAAAGGCGCATGCCCACAGTGCCAAGAGGACTGATAACACGCAGGGGGAGGTGCCACCTAGGTTTCTAAATTATTTGTCAGTGTCCCATCCATGAGACTGTTCTTAGCCCCACGGTGACAAATCACAGTTGTGAAGCAACTGAATAAACTGCAATTCAGAGTAGGTTGTGTGTTTTCACGGTCCTCACACACAAACAAGGCATGAGTCCTTACTTCATCCCTCTGAGAGATACAATCACAGCCTGATGTCAAGTCCCTTACCACACAGCTCTAATTTTGTAGCAAAACAATCACAAGTATAAGTAACGGTGAGTACCCAGTATGGAGCACTTGCCATGGGTGAGACACCATTGTGGGACCCACATGTCTTATTTCATTGACTCCTCAGAGCATCCCTAGGTGATAGGTGCTATTGCTGTTTACAATTCAAGAAGCAGACACACACACAGCTGTGACTTGTCCAGTTTAAGAGGCACTAAGCAACAGTGCTGAGATCCAAATCCCGATCACCTGAGTCAGCCACCATCTATACTTGTTACCACCTTCACAGTCACTGGGAGCTTCAAGTCTTTTGGGTATTGTTCTCAATTCTGTCTTCTGATAATTGTACAAAGGAACACACCCAGGCCTTTCCACATAGAGTTTCACTCAGAAGAGAGTCTTCTTTGGAGCCATCCTGGCAGAAATCCCTCAGGTGTTCTCAGCAGAAATTCCAATAGCAGTCCTACTTTGTGCCCACCCTCCCCCACAGGCAGGTTAGGCCAGTAAGTCCTGGATCTGCACTCAGAACTCTGGGAGACCCAAAAGAAGTTACTTTTCTTCTCTGGATCTTTCTTTCTCCGGAAAAAGCTGGTCCTTGAGAAATGTCAGTTCTAACATTTCCATTATCCAGAGGAAGTAGAATCTAGAACCTGGTAAAGAGGTTTACCCTGTAATGAAACTGTCAGGTTGCTCCATAACATCAAATCTTGGAATGATGGGTATGTGAAAGCAGAAATGAAAAATGGGCTTCCAATTCTTGTGCATGACAGCCCAGCTCTGCCAATGGGACTAGCGTCTTAAAAAGAATGTCAGGTGTGAATTGTGAACCAGGTATCTTCATTTATCTTTCCATGCCTCACGCCAGGCCTGACTAATAGCAGATGCTTCGGAGATGGATAGGAGAAGGGAAGGCAGGAAAGATGGACTGATGGACAGGTAAATGGCTGGGAAGGTGGATGGGAGAGCTATAGATGGAGGATGGGACAGATAGATGGGTGAGACTGTATAAAATGTGTACTTAGTGATACAAAAGAAAGCCCTTAGCTATCTTTAGTTGTGTTGCCTGTACCGAATGGTGGGTCTCTGTGGGGAAAGCTGACCCCCGGTCTAGTTCTACTGTGTCTGTTGATACCTAGGGACAGTTAAATGGCATCCATCTCTCCCAGCCTAGTCATTCGTCCATATTCTTGGAATGAGGATGGTTGGGTAATGTCACCTTCCAACCTGTGTGCTTCCTGGCCAGGCCATCTTCCTCCTCGTCTCTTCTGCAAAGCCCTCTTTTCTGTCTCCATTTGTTGGGCCCCATCAACCCTGCCATGCTCCCACCAACGATCTGGATTGTCAGAGGCAGTGAAGACCAGTTTTGTGAGTCCCATTGCTTGAGCTGAGGGATATTGACAGCACTTGAGCCTTGGTTGTTCATATCAGATTTATAGAGCCTGCCTCCTGGAAAGGCACGGACAAAGGCACAATGGTCCACATTTTCAGACATGAGAGACCCCAGTGAAAGCACTGTGGTACACATTTTCACGCATTTGGGTTGCCTAAATAGTTACAGCTGCCCAAAATGTAGCAGGGCCTCCCTCCTACTCTCCTCTCCCCCTTCCCTGACCTGGAGTATGCTGGCAAGGACATAAGAACTGTAAAATTGTCTACATCTGTCCCTCACACATCCCACTGTCAACCACTCTACTCCCCCCACCCCCTGCATCCGGGACTGTCATTCCTGATGCTGTCTCCTTTCTCAGGACACGAGAAGTCTGAGAATGCAGTTAAAGCTGGGACTTGCTGTGCCACGTGCAAGGAGTTCCACCAGATGAAGCAGACAGTGCTGCAGCTGAAGCAAAAGGTACCACTGAGCTCGGCAGGAGCTGACATGTGAGGATAGGAATGGAGGGCTGGGCCAGGGTGGCGTGCAGGACCATTTGGGGTCAGTGAGAAAATCATCCACGTTGAGCATTTGCTGCCACTGACGTCAGCTAGGTACAGGTTCAGGATGCTTTCTGCTCTGGGGCTGACAGCCTACGGAGTGACAAAACACTAAGCAAAACATGAAGAGGTGGTTGTTAAAATAGACACTGGAAAGGGACACATGACAGAGCTGTGGAGAGGGTACCACTACCATTATCATAATAGTATGATATTTTTGTTACTTTGCTTCATTTTTGTTTTGTTTTTTGAAACAGGATCTTCTGTATAGCTTAGGCTGGCCTTGACCTCACTATATAGCCCAGGCCAGCCTCAAACTCCTGAGTGCTGGGATTACAGGTGTATACCACCAAGCCCAGTATTATAGTGAATTCTTGTAGAAAATGTAGAGTCATGACCCTGTGATGGACCTATGCAATTTTATCTTATATGTGCTTTATCATGGAGAATATCCTCTCTCTAAAATTCTATAAACTGATGACTTTCTGCAGTGGCTTTTATTTTTCACATGCAAAATTTAAGACTTAGGAAAAACTATGGACCTAGGTTAGGAGCTCTTTGGGTACTTCATGTCACCAGGAGTGAGGACTGACTCACTTTATGGAAGACTCCACCAGATGAGATGGATACCAAGTCTCTGGTAATGTCATTGTGCTATGAATAAGGCCCCCATGATGGATCTGGTGACCTGACTTCTTGGACAACTGTCCTGGGCCTGGATAGTCAGTGTTTATTTTACCTGAGGTCAGTTCATTGGCTGGTTTGTCAGTGATTCAAAAATGGCTCTTATTCTGCTAAAACATAAACTTCCTAGTTTGTTTATTTAATTGCTTCCACTCAAGGCTCATAGGAGATCAAAGAAGTGTATATAATCTGTTTAACTTTGGCAGCCAGTTCTTTTAAAGGGCAAAAGGGGAAGCATGAGACTGTATCTCTTTTCCATGTTCAACAAACTTGCAGCCAGCCCCTAATGAGAACCACAGCTACCAGTTAAATAAGTGAATCTGCAGGCTGGGAAGGGAAGGGAAGGAGCTTGCAGGGCTCTCGTATGTGGTTGGTGAAGATGTGTTCAATGTTAGCAAAGGCACATGTATATATGTTGTATAATCATGAATAAAACTGATCTGATTCTAAATAGCTTGTGCTATAATAGTGAGAGCAGGCAGAAAGCCAAGTATAAAAACAGAGAGATAAATACATCCACACAGATAGTCTCAGATGAATCAATATTTGTATTTATGGAGCAAATCAAAAGAGAGTTCATGGAAGAAGTGAGCTTCCATTTCACTAGCTAGAGGCCCAGGCTCCGGAGAAGCAGTTGATTGCCATCTCAAGACAAAGCTTGCAAGGCATAAAGCCACCCTTCCTGGAAATAATTCATGAGTTTAGGTAAATTATTTCTAGTTGGATTGACCTTTACAAACAGTGGAGCTAAATTCACATTATTCACAAATTTAGTTGCTAAATCTGACTTTCCCTTAATCTCCTTGCATTGTATTATCCATGAAAGTTAAGAAATACTAAGAAGAAGTTAAAGAAATTGTATTAAGACACCTGTCACCCTCTAAGCAAGCCATACTGTAGACCTACATGAAAATCCATGAGATTGTCTGGCTCTTATGCAGTTGGGTTGGATTAGAATTGCTGTGTTTTGTACCAAATTCTCACCATTGCATCGTGACAATTCTGGTAATCTGACATTAAGGAATATTCTGAAGCATTTACAGATATCTGTTGAAACACAGTACCTCCTACAGTATATAAAGCGGTTTTATGCCCATAGTTTCATTTACTTGTCACTGTAACCCTATAAGAGTGATGCCCTTAGTCCCCAAGAGGTAAAGTAAGGGCCCAAGAGGCCAGATCTAAACCTAGGTTTTCTCACTTCTACTGTCACGTGGCTGTTTGGATCATCAATTGACTTTTAACACCAGCTTGTTGCTGTTGATGCCATCTGCCCTGTTCACAACAGTACGTAGGACATCGGCCCAAATAAACATTGGCCAGGAAGTAGGTACCGGGTGTCCTGAAAAGCAGACAACCCCACAGTATGAAGTGATGGCACACGTGTTGAACTGCACCAGGAGCATATGGTCAAAGAATTCCAGCTGTGGGAAGCACTCAGCTCAAATGTCCTGGCTTCTTCAAGGGATGAATTATAAAGAAAAGACAGGTGAGCCGGGTGCTGCTGGCTCACACCTGTGATCCTACCTACTCAGGAAGCAGAGATCAGGAGGCTCGAAGTTCAAAGCCAGCCTGGGCAAATAGTTCAGGAAACCCTGCCTCAAAAAACCCATCACAAAAATAGGGCTGGTGGAGTGGCTCAAGGTAAAGGCCCTGAGTTCAAGCCCCATACCGAAAAAAAAAAAAAGGACAGGTGAAGCAGGAACCTGCAGAATACAAGGAACCTATAATACCTGTTGTGTTTTTTTTTTTTAAATAAGTAAGGCTAAACCACAGTGCCTAAGCAAATGAGTGGTAAATTATTTTTATAGTAGCAGAAAGTAATGTGAATGTCAGAATGGGGGAGGGAGGAGACTGTCTTGGGAACTAGGGTGGCTGGCAGTTTTGTTTGTTGACTTGAGTGCTCATTAACCATGCTTGCTTTCTAATAATTTTGTAAGATGTGTATTTGTTTTATGGCATTTTATTTTCCAATAAAAAGTTTTAAAGATGGAATGCAGTTCCCAGTGCCTCTACCTCCTCCATTTTTTTTTTCTGTGGTTGGGAAGAAAACACTTGATTTGGTGACAAAGGGAATTCAAGGATAGACAAACACCTGTCATTTAACTTTTAAGTGGGTCTCAGTACTGCTGAAGCACTGAAGAAAAATGAGATCTAAGCCTCCTATTGATCTTTCTTTTTAAAGTCACTGTGTCCCTGCTGCAAGGACTGTTTGATTTGGTAGTGGGACAACTGCAAAGTCCCAAGGAAGGAGATTCCAGAAAGAAAGGCATGGAGCTGTCAGCAAGCCTGGGCTCTGTGACCCCAGACTGACTAGTGTGTTCAGCATCCCACAGTGACTGCCAGGGAGCAGGAGTTCTCTGTGCTCTTAACAACAAGCAATCCTGGAAAGAGCGAGTGATTATTCCAGAATCATCAGCACCTGCTGAGAAATGAAGAACTATAAAACAGTGTGGACTAAATTCCGCCTTAAATAAACTTACCATCTTCTGGGGAAACCAACCCAACAGTCAAAGAAAGATGGCCAAATGGAGTGGGGTAGACAATCAGGCTGGAGAAGGTTTCCAAATCAGTGAGGTTTCCAAAGTGAGCAGCCCACCGGCTGTACTTGCTAATGCTAGTACTGCCTTCAGTGTTTGCCACATATGTGACTTTTTAATTGTCTGTGGCTTCTTCTGCTACCTTGATCGATTTACTCCATAAAATGGGTCTTCTCAGGACTGTATTAAAATGACTATAAACTTCTTGGCCATAAATCATAGTAACATTAATGAAGGCTGCTTGGTGTAGTAGTTAGGAGCATGGATCTGGAAGCAGATTGGTTAAGTTTAAATTTCTGATCTACCGCTTGATAACTGTGTGGCCCTAGAAAGGTGACTTAACCTCTCTGCACCTTGACTCTATAAAAAGGAAATAACAAAAATAGTTGCTACCCAACATTTTCATGATGATCAAATGAGTTAATAACTTGTAAAGAAACAGTGTCTGCCACCTAGAAGGAGCTTGGTAATGTTTACTAAATACATAATTAACATTAATTCTTAGCCTCCTTTTGATGCACTTTACAGGCAGCATCTCACTGATTGGTGCAGTGAGAAGTGTGTGCCATCATGAATAGATGCTATCATGAAGGCCAATGTGAGATGCTGATGCTCCTGATTTCACTGTAGGAATCCAGGAGAAATGGAGACTCCACATACATTACAACCTTCCTTCCAAACATCTGCATCCATGAGCGCATCCTCAGCTGTCTGAGCACATCAGTGCCCTCACTGCCCGCTAACCTACAGATATGCAGAAGCTGGGGGGACCGGGGAGCTGGAACATGCTCACAGAGAAAGTCAGGATGCTGAGAGGAGCACTGAGTAACTGACTCACTCTGTAATTTTCACAAGAAGGCCAGTTACACTGGAAGCAGTTCAGACTTGCTTATGAAATTTTGAATACAAAGATGTGGTTATCTGATCCATTTGGTAGTCATGAAGAAGAAAGCCTGGAAGGAGAAGAGGACTTGAGCTAAAGTCACATGGCTACTTAGAATCAGAACCAGGAGCAAGCACAGACAGAGGATTGTCCCATGTCAGTGACAGTGGTTGGATGCCGAATCAGGCATGTTAAGGACATGATCAGTTCATTTCTGGAGCAGCCCTTCTGGGCAAATGTATCAATTCTTGTCCTTGCCCTAGATGAGGTGGTCCAGATTCCACAGGTGGACAATGACAAGGCTGAGATTTCAATGTGAGTCTGTCCAGTACCAGAGCCCACTGCCGGATCCAGCTTTCAGTTTCTCAGTTGGAGGCAGAAAATAACAATGGACCAGCCTTCAGAGCTGCCAGCATTGACCCACGATCCCATACTTGGGACAGATTTACTTGTTCCCTCACTCATTGGTTCCCACCCCTTACACACCAGCACCATTTTAAATACACCCCAGACCACAGTCATGTCGTAGTGGTGACTCTGAACCATGATACCAGACCTGTACTTGTGCAAAACTGACTTTCAGACGGCACAAGCTTCGGCTTCTTACTGTCACCTCTACTGGATTCTGAGTCATGATCACAGAGGAATTAGGTGGTACCTCTGGTGGAGTACCATTCTTTGTATCTTCCAGGCAGCAGTAGGTCTTCTCAAGTGTGGAAGAAGACCTTCTACCTGGAAGACAGCAGGTAGTCAGGAATCTTGGCTCTCTGATCTACAAGGCAGTCTTTACCCAAGGACTTTAGCATTATCTAC